AAGAAAGAATTCAGTCTATTCACCATGAACTCTGTCTTTCCCCCTTTGTTATCTCCTATCATTCAGGTTCCTCCTGCAGTTATGTCCTCTTTCACCCTTGTCTCACAATGATGAAATGCCTTACTCCTTGCCAAGGCTAACCTTCATACTTTTTTTAAAATTTGGTTTGTTTGCTTTTTGTTAAATTTTATTTTTAATTTATGGAATAAAACAAGCATTTCCATAACATAATATAATAAAAAAACTTTGATTGCACATGAAACTGCAAATCTATCATGCACAACTTGCTATTCCTTTAAAATATACAATAAAATTATCATACAAATTTCTTTTTTTCTTCCCTCCCCCCCACCCTAGAGAGAGCTACCAACAGACACAAATATGTGTGTTTGTGTGTATAAATGCACACACATATGTAAAATTATTTTGTACATTTATTTTTCAGTTCTTTCTCTGGATGCAAATAGCATCTTTCTTCATGTGTCCTTTATAGATAACTTTCATATTTATAATAGTCAGAATTACTTATTTGTTCAAAGTCATTCTTAAAACAATGTTGCTGTTACTGTACACAATATTCTCTTGGTTCTTCTCATTTCATCTTCATTATGTTGTTCCATCCCATTTCCTCCAACAGATTGACCCCTCAGTCATCTTTACTCTTTTACTTATTTTCAAACTCTCTCTCCACTGGCTCCTTTCCTATTTCCTACAAACATGCCCATGACTCTGTAATCATGAAAAAAAAAATCACCTAATCCTTCCATACCTGATACCTACTATCCTATATGTAGCTAAATATTCATTGTAGCTTTATAGCTATATGCACTTTGTAGCTAAACTCCTTAAAAAGGACATTTACATTAAATACTTCCATTTTTTCTCCTCATACTTTCTCCCTAACACCTACAATATGTTTTTTACCTTTTTATTCTTCCAAAACTTCTCACTCCAAAATTACTAATGAACTCTTAATTTCCAAATCCAATGGCCTTTTCTCAATCCTCATTCTCCTTGACCTCTCTACATCTTTTTTTTTAATTTTAATTTTAATTTTTATTTTTAGGCAATTGGGGTTAAGTGACTTGCCCAGGGTCACACAGCTAGTAAGTGTCAAGTCTATGTCCTTTAACACTGCTGATCACTTCTCCTCCTTCATATCCACTTATCTCCAGGCTTTTGGGATATTACTCTCTCTCTCTTTTTTTCTACCTGTCTGATCACTCCTCTGTGTCCTTTGCTGGATCATCCTCCACATCATGCTCTCTAACTGTGGGTGTCCCTCAGAGTTCTGTCCTGGGCCCTATTCTCCTCTCCCTCTGTACTATTTCATTCAGTGATTTTATCAGCTCTTATTCATGTAATTACCATTTCTAGGCTGATAATTTTCAAATATACTCTTCCTGTCTCAGTCTCTGCTGACCTCCAATCTCACATCTCCAATTGCCTTTCAGACATTTTGAACTGGATGTCCAGTAGACATCTTGAACTTAACATGTCCAAAAGAAAACATTATCTTCATTCCTAAACCTTTCCCCTTTTCTACTTTCTCTATTACCAGAGAAGGCAACACTATTCTCCTTCTTCACGTTTGACATCTAGGAGTCACCCTGGATTCCTCACTATCTCTGTTCTTTCATATTCAATCTGTTGCCGTGACTGTTCTATTTCACATTTGCAACATCTCTTGCATATGCTGTCTTCTCTAATCTGACACTGCCGCCACACTAGTGTAGTCCCTCTTCATCTCATGCCTTGATTATTAGCAATAGGCTGATATTGTTTCTGCCTGCCTCAAGTCTCTTCCACACTCCTATCCACCCTCCATTCAGTAATTAAAGTGATTGTTCTAAGATACAGGTCCAATCATATTATCACCACCACCACCATCCCACTCAGCAAACTCCAGTGGCTTCCTATTGCCTGCAGGAACAAATACAAAATCTTCTTTGGCATTCAAAGCCCTTCATAATGTAGCCTCCTCCTACTTTTCCTGTATTCTCATACCTTATTTCCTGCCACTCACTCTTTAATTCAGTGACACTGGCTTCCTGGGAATTTCATGAATAAAACACTCCTCTCAGCTCTGGACCTTCTCTCTGGCTGCCCCCTATTCTTGGAATCATCACCTAACTCTGCAACTATTGAGTTCTTTTAGGGCTCCACTAAAATCTCACCTTCTGTAGAAAGCCTTCCCCAAGCCCTCTTAATTCCAAAGCATTCCCTCTACTAATTATTTCCTATTTATCTTGGATTTATCTTGCTTTGCCTAGATTTGTTACCTCATGTTTTAGATTGTAAGCTCCTTGAGGGCACAGACTGTCTTTTACTTAATTTTGTATCCCTAGAGTTTTAGCACAGTGCCTGGAACATATTAGGTGTTTAAATATATGTTTATTGATTAATTGATTGATAACTCATATTCTCCTTACCTCTCACCTGGACTAACAAAATAGTCTCTTAGATGGCTTTCATGTTTTAAGCTTTCTTCACTTCAATCCATTCTCCACACATGCCACTAAATTGATTTTGCTTAAGAACAGGTCTTAAAAGAATGTGTCTTAAGAACATGTGACTACCTTATTCAATAAACTCTAGTGACACCATGTTGTCTCCAGAGTTAGTATAAATTCTTCTGTTTTAAGTTTAAATCTCTTCACACCTTTCTACCTTTTCAATATTCTTACACTTAACTCCTCCTCTTTAACTTCTTCACTGTGGTACCCATAGCATTCCGTTTACTCTCTGTGTGCCCTTGAACTGACTCCCCAATTCTTGGAATTCATTCCCTCTTTATCTTTGACTCTTCGAATTGCTGGTTTCCTTCAAAGTTTCATTTAAATTCTACCTTCAATATGAATCTTTTCCTGGTATTACCCAGATGCTACAACTCTACTTCCAAACTCTACTTGTATTCACTTTACATATATTTTAAATACTTATGTGTATACATGTTATCTCCCATTAGAATATAATCTGCTTGAGGGTAAAGAATAATTTCACTTTGCTCATTGTGATTCCTGGCACACAAAGCACTTAATAAATGCTTGTGACATATTGATTAATCCCTCTGCTTCTTTTCTCTTGTAGTTCCAACTTACTCTCTGAATCACAACCAGACTAAGCTTCCTTATATGTAGAACTGAACATATCTCTCCTTTGCAGTAAAGACTTCAGTGTTTCCCCATTATCTCCCTGATAGAGTTCAAATTCCTTAGACTGGAAGATAAGTGGCCCAATGGATAGAGTCAGGAAGAATCCAGTATAAATCTAGCCTCAGATACTTACTAGCTGTGTGATCCTGGGCAAATAATTTAACCTCTGTTTGTTCAATTTCCTCAACCATAAAATGGGGATAATAATAGTACCTACCTCTCACAATTGCTGTGAGGATCCATTGAATTAATATCTATAAAGCATTCACTGTAGTGGCTAGCACATAGTAGGAACTTGATAATTGTTTCTTTCATTTTCCCCTTGCATTTAAGGTGCTCCATAAGGACATATCAGACTCTTTCCAGCTATATCTTCCACTGCTTACTTTCATACATAATCTTAACAGGCTGATCCACTGACCACCATAAAACCCCCGTGCTTTCACACATCTTTGCCATTTTTCTCACTGATTCCTATTTCTACCTCTCCCTTCATAGCCCATAAACATACAGTGAATTCCTACCAATCCTTTAAAGTCTAACTCATACGTTACCTCCTCCAGAAACCTCTGCATCAACATTCTGCCTTAATAAGTAATGAAACTTCCTCCTTTTCGGAACTCAAAGGCAATTCATTAACATTGCTCTTAGGCACTTTCTGTGTATTATCCTGTACTGTAGATACTGATGCTGTAGTTACTTGCCTACCTTTATACCATATCTACCTTTTGCACTGTAAGCTCCATAAAGGCAGAGACTAAGTCAAGTAAACCTTTTTATCTCCCCCAGGAGGCAAATTCAGAATACTTTACATATAGCAGTACCTTAAAAATTACTTGTGGACTTTAATACAATAAAATTGATAATTGTATACTCTAACATATTCTGTGATATACCCAGAAGCAACAGAATCCTGGGCTGAATAAATCATGGTGGTAAATGCTGACATTCACTGCTAGGTTTTCATAGGGCCAGAACGATGCTTTCCTTGGTTAGGACACTGAGAGGCAGAATCATTTTAATAGGAGCATCAAAGTGTTAGAAGTCAGCATTCCAGTGTATAGTCTAAAGTAGAAAATATGCCACATTCCATTGTCATGAATCCCAGTTTTTAGTTCCTGAAATATGCTAAACTGAAAAACAGTGAAATAACCCTACATTGACTTGGAAAGGATGACACTAAAAGCTTTGAGTAGTTGTTTATTAACCCTTTGTAGTAGCCACAATGACAAAAATAGTACTACTCTGAATTTATGGAAACCTTTACAAACTTCAAAGAAATTTTACATATGTGAAATATCACAAATGATCCAGTAAGGTTTTCCATATTTACAGCCAGAAAGGATATTATGTAGTCATAATTATTCCCACTTGTTAAATGAGAAACATGATGGGTTAAGTTAAATGATATGCCCAAAGTCAGAAAGTGATAGATTTAGAGGCTTTCTAGACTGACCTCATTTTGTAGAGGAGGAAATCAAGGCCCAAAAGCAATAAATGGCTTACCCAAGATCATGTAGGGGTAACCATCAGAGTCAGGATTTAAGCCCAAGTATTCTGACTTCATAGTCAGTGTCTTTTCACCATATCATGTTGCTTCTAAGAACCTACCGTAAGAGTAATCGGCAGCATTAAGAATACAGGACGTTTTCCTGACCTAATCCACTCCTTCCATCCACACTGAGTAGCTACACCTGACAAGGTTGATTCTCCATTCACTTTTATGACTGTGACTTGGATACTAAGTAATTCTAGGATTAACATTTCTCCTTCCTGGCCCCAAAGGCTTAAATGGACAATGAGCAATAGCCAAGCAAAGAAAGAGCTGAGGTGCAGAGAACTTACTAGGGGTGTTCAGCAGACGAGATTTCTTGCAATGGTAAATGGCCTCCTGCTCACAGTACTCGGCACTGTTGATCATTGCCTCCAGCTGCTCCATGCTGCTGCTGTAGTTAAAGTACATGACATAGGGCCTCTTGGGATGTGCCCCTCGCACTCGAGTGAGCTCTGTGTTGTTATGCTGCACGGCAGTCCAGATCTTATCCTCTGTTCAATGCAACACAACAGAAGGGGATGTTACAAAACAAAGCAGCAAGACAGCACAGGGCCCCAAGCAATAGCAATCAATCATTCATTCAATAAGTGTTTATTCATGAATTGCCTATGCTGTCACTCTGCCTCCAGCTCTCTGCCAGGGGATGTGGGGAATATATGAAGAGGAAGACGAGTCTCCTCTGTCCTCCCAATCTTACCCCTGCCCCTTTACAAACACACATCCAGATGCTTTCTATGTATTGAGATGGCCAAGATTTGTTTATAACACAGAAAATACTAGACAATTTAGCATTGAGTTAAATAGTTTGGGTTAGAAATCACATGCCATCAGAATTCAGAGAATGGAGAGCACATTAAAAAAACCTATTTTTGCCTAGAACTCCTTTTTATTTGAAGCTGCGAAGGGAGTGTACAATGGCTAATATTCCAAAGTGTGGACCATGAAATTGTAGCTTCTCAAAACTAGTGCTTTCTAAATTGCCCTCTAACTCCCCTCCATTAAAAATGTTTTGCAATATTCTAATGGAAAAAAAAGTTTTTGAAAGAAATTTTTAATAATTTATTTTAAATTACTTTAGGCCAAGTAGGATAAGGCAGCAAAATGTATTACCTTATAGCTCATCATGTTTAGCTACAGAAACCTGGGCAAAATATTCTCCAAACTAAATTTCTAGTGCATATCACAAAATGAGTCCCCTGATTACTGAACTGGAAATGACTACTTATTTTGGCTGGCTCATTGCTGAATGAAACTAGTGAACAAAAACGTGTCAGATAGATATTTTGTAACAAGGTCAAAAGGATTATGGCAACCTCTATCTTCCTCATGTTTCATATTCAGCATTATCCTAAAGGTCAAAATACATGTTGAGCTGGTAGATGTGAGTTTCTAAGGTTGCTCTTTGCATTAATTGTTTATCAGTTTGCTGTCTGGCATATAGCAGATTCAGGGAAGTACCTCTTTTATAGAAATCATGATCAGAGACCTTCATTTTCCCTTAAGGATTAGGAATAGTTAACAATTCAACACACATTTATGGAACATCTACTATGGAACAATGGGTATGGATTGTGAGGTTACGTAAAGAATAAGACAAAATGCCAATGAGATTTTTCCTTCAGAAAAACTCCTATTGTAAAATGTTTGCCTCTTGCATTCCTTAGCATAGGTATGCCTTCTGTTTTGTGGAAAATGATTTCAATGATTTCAATGTTTTAATTTTTAATTTAAAAAAAATCTGCTTGTTTCACGTGTTTTGCTGTTCAAAATACTGTGATCTTTCAGTTTTGGGGGAATATGTATGACAGGTTATAATATATCCAAGAGGAGACAAATTGAGCACCTGGGGGGAAAGAGAAGGGTGGCAAATGCAACCTTTCATACATATTAATACAGGTGAAATAAGGTGATAATGAACATCAAAGGCAGCCTGAAAAGCAGAATTAAACTATAACAGGGCTACTTTTTACCCTACCCTTTCCTGGTTTTCTTCCTGCATATCTGACCTCTCTTTAATCTCCTTTGCTAGATTTTCATCTGGGTCATATCCACTAACCATGGGTGTCCCCCAGAATCCTGGCCTTTCTCTCTTCTCCCTCTACAGTATTCCATTTGGTGATCTCATCAGTTCATGGATTTGATCATCTTCACTATGCTAATGATTCTCAAATCTACTTACTGAGTCCTAATCTCCCTATTGACCTCCAGTCTCACATCTCCAACTGCTTATTCAACATTTGGAACTGGATGTCCTGTATATGTCTTCAAGTCAAGATGTCTAAAACTGAATTTGTTATCTTAGCCCTCTCCTCTTCATAACTTCCCTGTTACCATTAAAAGTATCACCATCTTCTCAGTCATTCAGGCTTACAACATAAGTGGCATCCTCAACTCCTCACCCTTTATCACATCTCCGTATCTAATTTGCTGCCACAATATACTGATTTCATTTTCTTAATATCTCCAACATATGTCCCTTTTTCTTCTCTGACTGACACCACCCTGGTATAGCCCTCCATCTAGTCCTTACTCCTGGAATATTGCAATAGCCTGCTGCTTGGTCTCCTGACTTCTCCTTATACCAGTCCAGCCTCCACTCAGCTGTGAAAGTTATCTTCCTAAAGCATAGATCTGAGCATATCACCCCCTTACCCAATAAACTCTAGTAGCTTCCTATCACCTCCAAGATCAAATATAAAACCCTCTCTTTGTCATTCAAAACTCTTTATAACACACACATACACACATGCGTTTCTTTTTTAATCTTATTACACCTTACAATCCTCCATATACTCGGTGATCTAGCAATCCTGCTTCTCATATTCTTGCTATTCCTCAAGCAACACACACCATTTCCTGATTAAGCATTATCTCTGGTTCTCCATCATGCATAGAATACTTTCCCTACTCATCTCTACCCACTTGTGATTTCCCTGGCTTCCTTCAAGTTCCAGCTAAAATTCCTTCTTCTTCAGGAAACCTTTCCTAATCACTCTTAATTCTACTATCTTTCCTTGATTATTTCCAGTTTATCTTTTCTTTCACTTTTGTACACAGTTATTTATACATACACTCATACATAATTATTTGCATAGTGTCTCCATCATTAGACTGTAAGTCCCTTTAGAGTAGGGATTGTCCCTTATTTTTCTTTGTTTCCTCAGCACTTAGCACAGTGCCTGACACATAGTTGACACTTAATAAATGTTTATTGACTATTAATTTTACCTTTTTAGCTGCCATTCCCAGATATCCAATCACTGCATTTCTTTTATATTCTGAAAGTGACTGGGGAAGACACCTCCACTGAAGAACCAACCAGTAAGCAAGTTGAATGGACTAAGGACAAAGAGTAGTCATAGGCTCATGACATTATAGATTTAAAGTTGTGAGGAATCTTAAAAACCATTAAACCCAACACAAATAATTACACAAGTTTAGACTAGTTTTTTTTTTCAGGAAATTTGATGTCTTGTGACAGATAGGTTGATCTCTTAGATCCTTTGGGGCATCAGAATAAGATATAAAACAAGGAAGGGTCTGATTATGAAAGGGAAATCTCTAATATCCAATAGTGGTACATTAAAAAAAATGTCTTTATCCTCCTATCACTATCCCTCTCACCCAACTTTCCAAGCAAAGGAAAATCCCCAAGTAATGTTAATAATTACTACTCTTTATAGATCTTTACAGATAGAAGTGACCAGAGACATCATCTACTCTAATACCTTCATATTACAAATGAGCTAACTGGGGACCAAGGAAGGAAAATTAATTGTAGAAACAATTTCTCAGAGATGGAAACCAGTCAATTGATAAAACCCTTACTAGATACCAGACATTGTTCTAATTTCTGAGAAAAAACAAACAAACAAAAACAAACAGCTCCTTCTCTCAAGGAACTTAAATCATGGCCTAAGAAGAAATGGGTAAAGATTTTGATAAATACGAAATTTATATAGAGTAGAAAGAAGACAGATGTAGCTGGGAATGGAGGGTCAGGGAAGGGGCCTGAAAAAAGATCTCCTGCAGATAGTAGGATTTGCCTTTTCTTTATGATTACAATTGATCCCTTTAATTACACATTTGAAAAATTTTCCAGATTAAGTGGATTTTTCTATAAAGAATTCATCTGTTTCACCTTTGTAGCAACTGGGACATTTGCCAATTTCCTGTGAGGCCTTAATACCTCACATATGTCCTAGGATTTTTCAAAGATCATTAACATTTATTTGGACATCACATCTACAAGTTGCTTGCTACTTCCTCCCCCTCTCCATTTTAATTTCAAGCTTAGGGTTTTGTATTTATATCTCTTCGATTTAGTCATGTTAGATTTGGCCCATTGTTCTGGGCCATTGTCAAGACCTCTTGGAATTCTGATTTTGCCATCTAACATGTTAACATTAACGTATATTGTCATCAATGTATCCCACCAATTATACCTAGGGGTATCAGAATGCTGTGGCAGAGACTGAACCTCACAGCCTCATCACCATTGAATTGAATGAACTAAAACTGATATGCCATTACCAGGGAAACTTAAAATATAAAGTCCTTGTGGGCAAGGAATCTTTCCATTTTGACTTTACATTCCTAGTACTAAGCACAGTACCTGGCACCATAATATGTGGTTTATAATGCTAGTTGATTGATTTTTCACAATTCCTGAATGACAAAATTCACCGACTTTTCAGGACTGACAATGTCACTAACCTGCTTAACAAGCTTTAATAATTTCCTTTTGCCTCTAGGATAAAATAATAGTGCCCCCTTTCACAAGTTGGCCCAAACTTATCTTTTAAGCTTGACTATATATTATTTGCTCTAACTGATGTTTCATTCTAGCCAAGATGGCTTACTTTATGTTTCTGTTATACCATATCCCAATTCTTGTTTTTCTGTCTTTTCTAGGGTCTCCCAAATGCCTAGAATGACCTTCCTCCTAATTTCCTATTCTCAGAAATTTTAGGTTTCTTCAAGTTTCAACTCAAGCATCATCTACTGAAAAAAAAATTCCTATCTGATTCTCCTAGTTCAAATTCATTCTCTTAGTTCAAGATCCTTCCTTTATCTACAAGTCATCTATCCGTGTGTGTGTGTGTGTGTGTGTGTGTGTGTATATATACATACATACAACAAAAACACTATGTTATATATACACATTACATATGTAATATACATCATATCAACAATATGCACATTTTCTACATATATATATATATATATGTATATGTAATATTTATTTTTATATATTTTACATTTACTTATCCGTGTATATAATGTTTCTTTCCAGGAGAACATAAGCTCCTTGAGATCAGAAATAGCTTTGTTTTTGTTATTATTGTTGTTGTTTGTTTGTGTGTTTGTTTTCTATCCCCAATGGCTAATGCATAATAGGTACTTAGAAAATGCTGGTTGAATGGTTGATTAATAATTTTGTTAGTGAATGAAATCAGAACAAATGAGTATCATTATTGAAGAAGTATAT